CTGACTTCTTATTTGAGGACGTTGCCAGTGCTCCCACGCTGGAACCTGGCAAATTGGGAGCTCTCAAAGTTTGAAAGCCTACAGGGCTGCATTGCAGCCACTGCGAGGTGGCAGACTGTGCAACACCCCGTCGCTTCAGCCCATCACTCTCCCCGCTCCACCTTGAAAAAGAAGAGGACCAGGCCAGCAACCACCACCAGCCTTTGCACACGGCTGTGGTCTTGCAGTGGGAACCCTCGAGCTAGTTTTGCCGTGCAAGCGTCCGGGCCCCAAAAGGTTTCTGGCGATGTATCCGAATGCAGGTCCGCGCCATCAGGTTAAGGTCGGTGCGCACCCGCATCCACGATGAGCCCGGCCGCAGCTGGCAGCACCTTCAAGATCTCACGGCTTCGGCTCTTAAGCTGGAGGCTCAAGCTCACGCTGAACCGCTCCGAAGGGTGCAGAATCCTCGCGGCTTCATGTTCCTGGTCCCTCCATTGGGGCCTGGCGGCCGGAGCGCTGCAGCCCAAGCCACAAGCCCAGAAACACCTCGCGAGCACACAAAGGCAAGGGAAGCAATCGGTGCAGAACACATCAGAAGAAGAAGAGTCACGGAAGCTGGTCGGGCCAAGGGGTCAAACAAAACCGGGCAAAAGCAAACGCCTTTCAAGCAACTAAACATCCCCCGAACACTTCTACCCCTTCTGTGCCCCAGCATATACATGGCTGCAACCCAATCACCGGTCAACAATGTTTCGGGTTTCCCCAGCACATAACCATCCGTCAAGGCCATGACTGTAGGGTGCCTTCTTGCAAGCCTGACGAAAACCGACAAACAGCCCATCGGCCCATCGGCTCCCGGCTTGTGCTGACAGGTCCACAGGCCAACGCCTCATGGGAAAGGACTTGGATTCTGCATCGCACGCTTTCGGGGCGCGGTGAGAGCAAACCTCATGCAAGAGCGATGGCGAATCCCCAGGTTCACTCACTGCAGGAGAAGGCATGCGTGTCAAAGAGCAGAAGAACAAGCCGGACGAGAAACGATTTCAGTTTTCATGGATCACTGGAGAGATGAAGATGCAGCTGATGCTGCTCCCCAATTGCTGAGGCAAATACCAAGGCGATTTGGTTCCCCAATCCTTGGACAGATAAGATAAACATGCCTTGGGAACTTCGGGATCTTAGGCCCTTCGCTCTGTCCGTCATCGGAGCTGAGGCCGCTGCGAAGCAGGCAGCATACTGCCTGGAGCACGGGAGCCCGCGGTTCAAGCGGACGCTACTTTTACTTCATACTTGTCGCAATCGCGCAGGACTCTTGCTGGGGCTCGATCCCCGAAGACAGCTTCCCGGTGAGCTGCGAGGGGTGTACCCGCAGCGTTACGCAACCTGATCAGGGGATGCTTTAAAACCGCTTCATCAATGAGGCTGCGTGAGTGCATGCCGAGAAATCAATATCGAGCGGATCGCAAAAGGTAATCTCAACGAGAAAGCCCTTCACACCCAATGTAGCCGACACTCGAAGAGCAACAAATCGGATTGTTCACCCCGGATGGCGGTAAGCTCGAGGCCAGACAAGTCTTCCACCCTTCGCAGCCTCTCAGAAGCACTGACTGATTGATTAGTAGCTACCAGTAACAATACAATTGCCAAGTTGAGGAGATGGTTGCTCGCAGCTCTTGCTCGAGACTTGCTTTTGCCGGCTTGGATCTGTTGAGGCGAGCATCGCACTGGAGGGCACCGCGCAGTCCAGCCAGGGAAGGCAGGCAACTCCTCAGCGAGTCAGAAAACCTCTAAGAGTTCGTGCTCGGGTGACTCGAGAGAGAAGTCAAATTTGATGCGGAGCTGTGGCGCCCTAAACGCAACCATTGCCAATAGATTTGGACTTCTGGGTAGGTCAGTCATGTGGTAGATGTTACGTCAAGACCCCTTTGGCCACATGTTGGCTAACCGGCTGCCCGCTACGCATTCCTCATCCTCCTTGTGAAGTTCTGTGCACCGAAGACCCCTGCAAAGGGGGACTTGACTTCGAGAGGCTGGCCTGCACAAGCCTCCCTCGCCGGCCCATCGAAGCAGACCGTTGACTTCCTGGGACGTAGTGTGACTGTGACACCATCCATCCAGTGTTCCCAAACTCGTGCCGACCGGCTGCACAGTGAGCGGGTGGCATTCTTTGACCGCGCTCGCCCCACCCCGAAACAGGACCTGCAAGACTCCCCGTGGCCCTGGGATGGCTACAATTGGATCTGGGTCAGGCGTGTCAAGTGCTGGCTCCTGCTTTCAATTCAATGGGGCGACGTGCCAGAAGGGACACGATGCTGGTGTTTCGGCGACGTGTGTCACGTGAAGAACTGCATCACCACACAGAACACACTTGACGAAGGCCTGCCTGTGGCTCTGGGAGGGTGGTCGGTGTGCCATCGCCAGTGGTGTCCGCACCCTCGGACTTCGCCTCCCGACTGCAAATACAGAAGGCCAGCTTTGGGTTGCTGTGCACGAGTCTTTCCAATGTTGGACCCTCGCGTGCTGGCGGGGCTCACAGATCACCGCGTTATACCGCGCTACGGATCCGTGAAAATGCTGCCTGCAGGTGTGGAGTGCAGAGCTCACACAAACTCTTGCCTCCAGCAAAGGCTGATCTTGCAGTTCGTCATCCAGTGAGTCTGGAGCCTTGATTCTCAATGTTTCTTCCACGCTTCAGAAGCTCTTGCAGGAAGCAGCTGATAGAACTGGGATTTTCTGCTATCCAAAAGCAATGCAAGGCAAAGGCATACCAGACGGCCAGTAAATCAGCAGACAATATCATCTAAGGCCGAGGAGCTCTTTGCCGGGTGCTGTCTCCCGGAACTTCAAGGCTGGAGTGCGTCATCCGCTCACGAAAGGTTTCCATGGCCTCGTCTGTCCACTCTGTCTCCTCGATCAAAGCCACTGACGGAGCCACCCACCAGCCCGAAGTCCCCAGCCACTCGGACATCGCCTCTCCTGGCGAGGCACCGAGGGGCAGCGCCCTGAGCTCGTCGCAGCGCCTGTCGATGAACACCTGGCCAAGGCCTGTCGGGAGCGGCGTGCGCGTCACGCTGCCCTCCTCCAGCACCTGCAGCGGGAAGAGGTCTCTGCTCTGTGCTGCCGGGGTCTTTCGAACTCTGATGTTTTTGCCCGGCCTGGTGTAGGAAGCGGAAGGCCAAGACTGCCTGGTTCGTGAGAAAGCACAAGATCACCGTGGAGACCACGAGCCCGGCCAGGGCTGAGTCTGCCCGATCCAGGCTTGCCGCCAGCTGCGTGCTCGCTGCCGCCAGCGGGAATGCGACGAGCCCCAAAGCACGAAGTTCCCACGAGCCTGGAGACAGACCGTGCGGCACCTGGTGCGGCACCTGCGTGGCGGAGCTCTGGTCAAGGTGCTTGCGATGCAACCGCAAGGCGGTGCGCCTCGCGAGCCACACAAAGGCGAGCAGAAGGATGCATCCCACCAGCATGGAGTCAGGCTGCGGGGCCATCCAGCGCAGGGGCACAGCCAGGTCATTGAGAGGCGAAGTTGGCCCTGCAGCCAGGACCTGCGTTGCGAAGATGGCCGCGGATGTAGATGGGAGCGCTCCCATCAAAGGCACCGCCAGCCCGGCCACTGCAGAAAGCAGCAGAAAGCCGAGGATCACGCCCGAGAAAATGCATGCTCCAGCAAGGACTGCGCCGAGAACGGCCAAGTGCCGTTCGCCCTCACCCCCGGGCCGATCGCCCGTGCGAGACTCGAAGGTGCCCGGTCTCGCTTCGCTCGCGCCGCTCGCACTCGCCGTACTCGCCGCACTCACGCTCGGAGTCTTTGGGCTCGCCGGCTGGGCTAGCGGCGGGGCCGACGCGGTGTCTTGCGCAAACACCGCCGAAAGCAGAAAGAGGAAGCATGACATCATCGGCTCAGTCCGGTCACGAGGCAATAAGGTGTACTGCTCAGTGGACAGTGTAGTAGTTCGTAGAGCCGTAGAGGATTATCATGTCAATGTTGGTGTACTTATGTGTACTTCTGCGCTTGTTTGTCAGGGTCACTTATTGTGCTTTTGCCTCCAAATATCGGCAAACGCCAAAACAAACTGATCAAACGAGAAAAAACATGGTGCCAGAACAAGGGTTTGGACATCCGCAAGACAGAACGGTTTAAGATAGATGGTGTCTCTGATCGCCTCGGCACAGAAACCCTGAAAACTGAAAAAGCCTGTTGGCTCCTGATTGAGCCGAGAAACCGTCCCAAATCGTCCCTGTATAATCCAAGGGCAATCAATCTCAGCAGTGCATTCGCGCAGTTTGCAGCACGGAATTAGTGCGGAAGATATTTGACGAAGGTCACATCCCAAGCTGGAAAGCCTAGCAATTGAGCAAGCTGCTTTTTTCCGCTCCTCTTTGACCGCAACTCGTCTGAGTTGAAAGCGCAGTGAGCTGTAAGGTACAGGCACTGGATTTTCCAGCACCAGACGGACATTGTTCTCTGCCATGGATGCAGGCAGCCACCGGCTGCCCCGAGACCAAGCAGGGGCTGGGCACGAGCAACGCGGCTCTCAACTTCAAGTATGACAGCTTACTTGGTGGGCACACTCGCACAATCCACCTCTTCCACAAAACTGTGCAAGCGAAGATGGCATGCCGCGGTGCACGAGCCGAGCAGGCTCAGCGGGGCCACGCGGCTCAAGACTGTCACACCATGAAAGTAAAGTCAGGACTTAGGACATACAAGGCTGGCTCAAGCCTCTAAGACCTCACAAAGCCACATTAAAGCGCGCAAGCTTCTGCGCTCTATGCCGGAATGCTAAATCAATGCACCTGCAGGTCTCTCAATCCCATCCAGCATAGTTTTCCAGGACCTGGATGCATGAGTCGGGGCAGAAGGACACACGTCGCTTGAGCACGAAACTCGTCCCACGATGCATGCTTTTCCACCGATTGCGGCTTAACCCTGTTCTGGTGTGCATGACATGAATAGTGCAGTGTCCCTTGCAGCCCTCCGTGATTTACACCTCCAGCTCAACAGGCAACACTAATTGTCAGAGATGGCAAGGTTGAGTCAGCGATCGACCACATCGCGGTGCGCTTGCACGTTTGCGCGCCGACGACATACAAGCACTACCTGTTCGTTCATGCATGCACCGATGTGTCATTCCTTTTATGCATGTATCTGCACGAACGGCTGGGTCGAGCACGTAGACGGTAGCCAAGCAGAGTGGGTACAGACTGAGGATGAAAAACCTCAGCTCCGGCTTCCCACAACGCTTGGGACCTCAAGCAACCCGAGGAGCCGCGACTGTGCCAAGAGAGGCAGACATGGGCGTGTGTTCTAGAAGCAATTCATGCAATTCCAAGGCCACAGCGCGTCGAGTAGTCTATGGACTCGGCGGAAAAGGATGCTCAAAGCCATGAGCACCTGCCAGAATGACTCGCAAGAAGAGCGCACATAGATCGAAACCGAACGTTGTTCAAGATTGGTTAACACCCCACTCGTGTGGAAGCCTTCGATGTCACACCACACTCCACACTTGCCGAGCAATGCAAAAAAGGCAAAGCAAGATGGTGCGCCCTCAACGCCACGACCATGAAACATGCACTTCTTTCGTGCACCAATCACACTGAAACCTTTATGTTGGCAGGGGGAGCAACGGTTCGGGGGATGCCCAGTGTCGAATTGACACCTCTGCAGCGGGGTTGCATGCACTTGTTCTGCTTCCTTCAACAACCTCCACCACTAATCGTTGCTGCAGTGCGTGCTGAGACGGGGATGTTAAGAGGGTTGAGACACGGAAGATTTGCTTGTTACTCCCGAACCCTGACTGGCTGCATGACATCCTCGACACAGCACCAAAAAAATCGAAAGTGGGCACATCGAAAAAGACTCTGGGCGGGTAGCCGTTCTCAGAAGCAGCAGTAGCGGTTGCAGCATTTGCAGCATTTGCACCAGCGGCAGCAGCAGTGCTAGTTGTCGCCGTGGTCTTTGCTGTCGCTGCTGTCGTTGCGGTCTTTGCTGCTGTAGCAGCTATTAGCAGTGCGTCAGAAAGTGTCCAGGATTATCCAGGTCAGAAAGACTTTACCGGCTCTACAGCATGTACATTGACGATGAGTGGGGAGTGAGTGTGGTGCAATCAATGCTTTGCAGAGAGACACCACTATGCCTTGGAGGAACAAGCGCAGCGCTAACGACGTGTTAGCCCAAAATCCTACTAGGGTGCAGTGGCTCCTTTTTGGATGGTCGAGTCGCATAGAATGCGCCCGGCCGAGCACACCGCCCCGAAACCGGTGCCGGTGCCGGGGTGCGCACTTCTGCGCCCACCCACGGACAACCGCCCGGTGGGGCGGGTGACGGCCGTATATAAGTGTCAGTTTAAACCTCCAGGGTGGAGTGGGCGGGAAATCAAAGAAGGCGATCGAACCGGCAAGCTGCGGTTCGATCGCTTACGCTTGTTCCTACACGCACTCGTGCGTTACACAACAAGCGCAGCGCTAACGACGTGTTAGCCCAAAATCCTACTAGGGTGCAGTGGCTCCTTTTTGGATGGTCGAGTCGGATAGAATGCGCCCGGCCGAGCACACCGCCCCGAAACCGGTGCAGGTGCCGGGGTGCGCACTTCTGCGCCCGCCCGGCGCACCCACCCCCACCAGGTGCCGGCACTAACTACCAGGAAGCGAGGTCTAGCAGCCTCTCAGGGGCCTCGTGGCAGGCGTAGTCGATGTCGGTCGCCGCCCGCCCGAGGATCACCATGACGTCGTCGACCGGTGCGTGCACGCGGCACCACCCTTCTCGGGCTGCGCGGGAGTCGTCTCCCCGCGAGACGGCGTCGGAAACATTGGCCGCGGAGGGGACCCAGTAGAACTCGGGGCACCACACCCTGTCGGCCGCCAGGCCCCAGAAAGAGGCGAGGATGGGGGGTCGCGCCCATAGCCCTTCATGAGGGCGAATTGCCCGGCGACATTGTCGATGAAGGCGATCCAGTGTTGGGGCAGTCGCCTGGCGAAGGTGATGATCGGGAGCACCTGCGCCAAGATCTCGAGCCGGCGGGACGCGAAAGGCTTGAGGTACTCGGGCTTGACGACGCCGAAGTCGTAGAACACCTGGCCCTCGAAGAGGAGCACGAAGCCCCAGCCATTCTCCCACCTGGCCGACCGGGGGACCGAGTCGCCCGGCTGAAGGTGGCCCACCTTCTTGCGCAGCTCGCCCTCCAGGAAGAAGGCGTCTGCGTACAGGACTGGGACGGGTCCTGTGACCGCCCCCGGCCACGGGATAATCCGTGGCTGGGCTGTCGACACCAGGCGGTCAAGGCAGACCGTAGCCCAACCGAAAGGGAGTCGTGGGAGTTGGCCACCGTGTCGGCCGCCCTGGCATAGAGCGGTTTAATGGCCGCCCTTCCGGTGCAGCCAAAGATGGACTGGCTGAAGAAAGTTTGGACGCCACGTCCGGCTTCCTGGCGTCATTCTCCAGGGCGCTGTCGATCTGCTGGAGAATCTTCCTGGTGCGGTCGGCGGTGGGGCGAAGCTCGACGCCCGTCGGGGCGATCCGCACCTCGACGCCGAAGAAGTCGGCCAGGGCGAAGTGGGCGGAGTCGGCCGTGGACTCGTCTTCCACGCCGTTAAAGTCGTCCACGAAGTGGCCGAACAAGACCAGAAGCAATGCCCTGGCCAGCATCTGGACGGCGTCCGCCGCCCGGTTAAAAATTCCAGACGCTCGCCGCGGCGCCGAAGTATATGGCGAAGTGGAACCACAAGGTGGTCCCGGCGGCGGTCGGGAGGAACGTCCCACAGTGACCCGGGAACTTCACCGCCCACTGGCGGTAGGCGTTCTGAAGGTCGTGTCCGAATAGCACCGGGTCCCAGCCGGAGGCCATAGCCCGGCGAATGATGTCGACGATGTCCCCAACCAGCTTGAGGTCCCCGTGCTCGTCCAGCTGGGTGATGGCGAAGGAGAGCGCGGCGAAGCAGTCGCCCCGAGGCGGTTCCAAGAGGCGGCTCATATCGGTCACCTCGGGCAGGGACGCCATGGTTACGCCCCAGCCGTTGGGCGCCCGACAGGGGCCCACCACTCGCCCAAGCCGAGCCTCCTTGACCAGCTCCTCCCGGAGGGCCGCAGTGTGGTCCGAGTCCCGTTTTCCCGACGCAGGCGGTCGAGGGGGGCCGGGTTGGAATGCCTCCCATCGTCCCGGCTCTTCCAGGGGCCGGCGGACCTCACCCAGCATGTCGAAGCCCGCCTCGAGGTCGTCCTGAAGGTCCTGGACCGCCGGGTAGCCCGCTTGAGCAGGTCCAGGAAGATGGGGCCTGGAAAGGACGAGGGCTATCCGCCGTGCAGTAGGTTGCCCGCGCGTGGCGCCAACCAGGCGGACGTGGCGTCCTGGGCGTCGTTGACCATGTCTTCCATCCTGGATGACCAGGCGGCGGATGCGCACCATGTCGTGGCGCCAACGGGCGCGAAACTCGAGCAAGCCCTCCAGGGCTGGCTCCAGGCGCGGCGGCGAGGTCAGCGAGTGACGAAAGTCGGGCGCTGCCTTCCAATGGTCCTCCTCGGAGAGGCCGTCGCCCAGGAAGGGGGGTTCGGGACGAGGGACGAGGAGGCGGAGTGAAGTCCCAGCCGTGGGCGTGCCAGTGGCCCAACAGCCATTGGATCGTCGACTCCCCCGGTGTCCTGGGGACACATGCTGCCGGTTGCTGCCATGCCGCCCAGACCAGGCGTCCTGTAGCATGGTCTGGTGGTGGTAGTGCCAAGGGGCGAACTGCCGATTGCCGGCGAGCCATCGATCCTCGGCGTCCTTCGGGGTGCGCCCCCTCGCCGACTTAGGCTTAGGGCGTCCGTCCTCAGTCGGAGCCGGGGTGGTGGCGCAAGGCACCAACACCTGTCCACGAGCCACCGACAGGTCGAAAGAGAGGCCGCCCAGGTCGAAGGAGTCGGCTGCCGCCGGGTACCCGCCAGGCGGACCGGCGGGACCATCTGCCCTGGTTGGTCCACTTCAAAGGCGAGTCCACTACAGGGTCCTTGGGGACGAGCGCCCAGTCGACGCTGATCCACCACAGGCGGGGCCGCGACACCCATCCGAAGTCGGATGAGCAGACGAAGACGGGCTCAACCCCAAGGGCGTCGGATATGATGGCCGCGTCCGGCAGGGACATGACGACATTCTCAAAGAGGAAGGCGAGGCGGCGCCCGGCGAGCAGGGCGCGGAGCTCTCCATGAAGACTATCCCCCGGTCACCCTCATGTCCGGCGCGAGCGCCCACACGAGAAAAGTCCTGACATGGAGGCGCGGCCACCCACAGTATCATGGCCTCGCCGTTGGGGTCGGCCTCCCGGATCAGCTTCGCCACCTCCTCCGGGGAGTCGTCCAGGAGGCTGCCTCTGTGCAGCAGCCAGGGCATGGCGGCCGAGGCGACCGAGCAGCACGCCCGATCTATCTCCCACGATATGGCTAAGAGGGGCCGCCCGAAGGCGGACGATACCAACCAAGGCGCTGCCCCAATGCCGTCGAAGGCGGAAAGGACGATGATGCGATCGCCCTTGGGCTTCCCAGGCGTGAGGCGGACCCGCTTAGCGGGGCTAGGGTCGGGTGCCGCGTCAGGGCCCCCAGTTGACGCGGCCCCGTGCTGTCCCTAGCGCCACTTTTGGCCGCCCTGTTTGGCGGCCCATCGCCCCGCCTGCTGGTACTGGCCCTTGGCGGCGTCGGGCTGCTCCCAAGACGAAGCGGACCAGGACTGGGAGGTCCAGCCGTCCGACCCATAGTGCCCCGAGGGCGTTTCCTGCCAGGCGTCGGACGAGTGCCACTGGTTCTGTTTGGCCCCTTTGCCGCCTTTGGGCTCCTGCTGGCGGCCGCCCTTGGCGCCTTTGCGGCCGCCCTTGGCCCCCTTCTTGCCGCCCTTGCGGCCAGGGCGAATGCACTTAGGCGGGGGCTCCACCCAAGAATCGTCGGCGTCGGAGTTCGTCTGGGTGGGCTGTGGCCTGCCCTTGGTCCGCCCGTCCGGGCGGGACGGGGCAACGGTGACCGCCTCGAGGTACGAGGAGACGTCCGCCATGATATCGGCGGTGGCGTCCTTAAAGGTCCTCTTCTGGCGGAGGTCCATGGCAAGCTGCGGTTCGATCGCTTACGCTTGTTCCTACACGCACTCGTGCGTTACACCACAAGTGCATCGGCTGCAGGTTTTGGCACCAGCTTCCAGTGCGGATTCATTCATACCGGATCTGCAAACTTGTAAACGGCTGTGCCGAAGCCGATTGCTCATCCGAACACAGACTTTCCAGAACGAACCAGGCCACGGGCGGCTCGGAACCGGGTGTCGCCTACATGTCTGGCTGTAGCGGTGTGGACTGTGGAAGCCTCGATCAAAAGGATGGAGGTGGTCTCGGCTGAGAACTCCCATGCCTAAGACAAGCAGTGCGCATGGACTAAACGAAAAAAACTGCTCTCGTGAAGGATGAAGGTGATAAAAGCATCACAGCGCTTGCATTGAGTCCCGCGCTAGATTCTGAAAGTACCTGGGCAGCTGTGGCTCTGGCGGCACCATGCACTCAGGTTCTTTCCCCGGCCATGTACTGCAACTTACACAGACCGAGCACGGATGCTGCCATCGTGCACAGCAAGAACATGACCTCTCTAAAGTCCCACACCAAATGCACACATTACGGCCTCGCCGCCTCCTGCTTCCCCCTCTTTCTGTAGCAGAGCCACACCAGGCCCAGGAAGATGCCAAGGCAAAAGGTGTTGTTCATGATGGCTGCCCCCTGGAACGGCTGGAAAGGAGAGGGCACTTGGTCCGAGATGCCAAAATTGCCTTTGACTTCCACTCCCGCCCCAGAACGAAGTCTGTCCGAAAGCCGGGTCTCTGTGCACAGATCCGCAGACTGGCAGTGAAGTCCAAAACAACAAGCCCGCACCCCACCCACCTCGAGGGTACTCAGAGATGTGGTGATGGACTTGCACGTCCTCTTTTTGGCATAGTTGTACCTCCCAAGGCATCTCTTGGGTCATGTGTTGCTTGCTCTCCCATGACGCCGCTCACGCTGCCACCAGCTCGCTTGCGTTTGACGCTAGAGGCGCCAGAACCTCAACAGAGAGCCCATGCACAGTTCGCCGTGCCAATGGCTTCAGGTTCGGCCGGGGTCGCTGCAAACGAGATATAGAAGGCAGACACATCTAGTCTTTCTCCTGCAGAGCTTCGCAAGTCAAGGTCTGAAGGTGCAGGCATCTGTGAAGCAGCACGCATTAGGATTTTGTTGTTTGTGGTTGCTCATCCTCCGTGGCAGGATGCATCTATCAGAACCTATCTTTTACCAGTGAGATGTCTTGAGGGTCAACCGGGAGCGGATGCCAAGGCCTAGTTCGGCCAGCAGATCGACCATTGGGTCAGAGAACACCAGGACCTTCGAGAAACCAGAAACGAATCATCTCCAAGAGACCGGTGCATCTTTGGTGCCCTGCAAGAAGCGTCCCGAGCGCCATCTGGTAAGCAGCGCGGATCCTTTCAAGCACTGCAAAAACAGCCACAAGCTGCAGTGAACATTGCCGTAGACAGCAGAGAAGGGCTCAGCAGCAGGCTTGATCCGCTTCTGCTGTTCTTCCGGCTCCAGGTCGGCTAGGTCCTGCGCCGCTCAACGCTCTCAACGGCTTCTCAGCTTTCACGCTTGCGAGACAGCTCCTCTGGCACATCCTCCTCTTCGTCATCTTCGCCCTCAGCGCTGCCCTCCGGTTGCACATGGCCGAACATCAAGGCAAGTCGACGGAATACCGCCAAACAGCTACACTTCAGATCCGTCCAGTCGACAAAAATCCAACAATCCAAGCACAGCCAGATGCTTGCCTCGCCGTCCTCCAGGTACTTGTTGGGATTGACGGCGTACTTTGGCTTCTTTGTCTCCTCCAGAAGTTATATTCGCATGGCCACGGAACAGCAACCAAAACCCTTGAAACCCTGAGCTTCCGGGTTGAACACGGCGACAAGCGGGAGCATGAAACAGAACGGAGCAACTGCCAAGTTCGACGACACGAAGCTGTAGCACGTCTGCAGGTGGAAGCCATAGTGACTTGCCACGGAAAGCATGCACCCTTTTGTGTCCGGAGTTGAGAGGACCTGACCTGTGGGAAGCTGCTTGAGGAGTTCACAGGAGCTGCGGTGGCTGGCAATCCAAGCCCCGCAGTGAGCACGCGTCCACTGGCTTGGGGCAAGATGCAACCGATTCCGCCAAATAGATATCCTAAAACCAACGAAAGGTATCGGCGCAGGAGATCCGCGCGCAACATGCACTTAGAGTGCACTATTATTGCTTCCATGGCTATTACTACTGTTGCTTGTAATACGATTATTGCTGCTTTTACTAGTATTGCTATCGTTACCAGTATTACTACTATGATTCTTACTACTACCCCTTCTTGCCATATTGGTAATATTACTATACAACTATTATCATTGCTAGAACTACTATTCTTGCAATTACTGCTATCATTGCTATTATTGCCGAAATTGCTACTATTGCTAATGCTTTGGTTATGACCATTATCACTGTTATTGCTGTTGCTACTCGTATCACCGTTAGATGCCAAACAAACACAAAATAAATGAAATCAATGATGACTGCAAAACTGAGCGCTCCCCCGATAAGAACTGTGAAACCCCGAATCCGTCCCGCTGTCAGCCTGGAGGTCGGTGTTCGGATCCAGGGCGAAGGACATGAGGCAGGCCACGAACTCCTGCACTTCTGATGATTCGTTCCCCAGCCGCCGAAGGTCTTCAGGAACTTCAGGGGTCTTGAAGTTTCGGAGGCACGCGCTGTGCCGAAGTCACACTGCCGGGCCGATTTCTGTGAGACAAAGTGTCAGCTGCTTCTTTGAGCCGCCTCATGTACCATGGCACCATGGCTTCTCGCTCTTTCAGGCTGTCTGCGGGAACGGAAGCAAGTAAACCCAAGACTGTGGCTCCAGGATGCTCTACGAAGCTTAATGATCATGCAGCGGACAGCAGAGGCGAACGGTGGCGGGAGAAAGTGCTCGAGCAATTCGACGGGCTTCATCAGTTCGGCAGCTGTGCACCTCGATATCAGCAGAGTAGCTTGACATCGGCAACTGCAACCACCACCAGCAGCCGCAACAGCAACAGCAACAGAAGCAGCAGCAACAGCAAACAGCAAACAGCAAAAAGCAAAAAGCAGAAGCAGCCGCAGCAGCAGCAGCAGTAGTAGCGGCAGCAGCAAAGAAGTCGCATCATGTTACCACTTGCACTATGATTCAACTCACCAGATCCCTGCAAGGCGCTTGTTTGCTTGGACTTGGACGAGATTTGTGTTAAACTCACCTTCGAGCCACAACAGTCCAGTGAAGAAGCATCCTGGACCTTCGCTCCACCCCTCCTGACGCAAACCTCTTTAATCAATTTAGGCAACATACCACTTCGCTTGAATTGTGCTGCTTGATGTTGGGTGGCTGGAAGCATGTATTGCTTCGATGTGCTTCGCGTTGCTCCTGATACTTACCACCAGCATAATGTAGCAATGTACACTACGATCTCTCCAGAACGCCGGCGTGCACTCCCTGCAGGTCTAGTGGTAGAGTCCGAGCTTGCCGCCCGGATTTCCGTGGTCTGGTGAGAAGCAGAACCTCCGAATCGTCGGGAAGGCAAATTGATTTCTGCCCCACAGGACTACAAGAAGCAGAAGTGCAAATTCCCTCGGTCAGGGCTCTTTGGGCCTCTCCGACTCTGCCTCTGGCCCGGCTGGTGCCTGCAGGCAATTGTCTGCAAAACAATTCCCAAGCAACAAATTCCGAGCCCCTGGAGCGAGCGCCCCAGAGTCATTATCCGTAGATTTACAGCCTTACTTACGTAACCCTAAGCTCGGCGAACGTTTCGGGAAAAGCTGGCTTCTCCCAATGCTTCTTTCTGCCGGGCAGGTGTCTCAGAGCCGCTGCTTCAGCAACGCGGCCGCCTGCAACAGCAGGTCGCTAGACCGGACGAAGGCAAAGCGCAGGTACCTCGCACCCAGATGAGGAGCAGTGCGACTTGTCCCAAGATAGAAGTTGTCCCCCGGAACACAGGCGACCCCAATGTCTCGGGTCATCTTCATGGCTGCCTCTGTTGGTGATAGGCCTTGCAGGGCCGGTACATTTTGGAAGTCCGCGAAGATGTAATAAGCACCCCGTGGCTTCGCAGCGATGCGGAAGCCTGCACTGCGAAGCGCTGGGAGAAGGATGTCTCGCTTCGCCATGTATTCCGGCCCGTGGCTGGCAAAGTAAGCATCATCCATACAAAGCATGGAGGCAGCTCCGTACTGCAGCGGGGTGGGTGCCTGTAACACCAGCTGGTCGTGAACTCCACGAAGTGCCTGCGTGTACTTGGCAGGACTGATCACCCACCCCACTCGCCAGCCAGTGGCTCGGGCGGTTTTGCTGACTGCATTGACGACAAAAGTTCTCTCTTCCATACCAGGCTGGAGTGCCATGGCAGCGGGAACGTGAGCTGCACCATCGAAAACAATGTGCTCGTAGATTTCGTCAGTTACGCACAAAACATCATGCTTGATGCACAAGGCCGCGATAATAGAAAGCTCAGATTCCGTGAAGACTTTGCCGGTGGGGTTGTGCGGGGTGTTGAGTAGCAAGACCTTGGCCCCGCTCAAAGCCTTCTCGAGCTCGACCGAATCGAATTTCCACTCACCGCTCTCTTCTGTCAACGTCACCGCAGATGGTATCAAGTGCCACAGCTTGCACTGGCTTGGATACAGCTCATGGAAGGGTTCGAAAAAAACCACACGATCGCCTGGCGAACAGATAGTGCGAAGCGAACAGGCAAAGCCCTCCGTGGCACCCAGCACCACCGTGATGTTCTCCTCGGAATCTGCTTGTATTCCGGGATAAAACCGTGCATAGTACTTCTGAAGGCTCTGTCTGAGAAGAGGTAGGCCGAAGGGGAAGGAGTATTGGGAGAGCAAGTCACGCTGTTGTCTTTGCGGAGCTGCTTCTGAGAGCAGCGGCTCCAGGCGCTCTGCTAAGGCCTTAGCCTCCTCCAAGGATCCCCCCTGGAGCAGAGCTCCAGCAGCCGCATGCAGCATTGCAGTTGGTGGCGGCTCGTTGGGAAAGCCCTGCGAGAGATTGATAGCACCGTGCTGAATTGCCAGGCGCGACATGAGACGAATGGTGCTCTCCTTCACCGCGCTGCCCCCGCTGCCCCGGCCCGGGTTCTCCAAGGATTCCTCCGCTTCCTCCGCTCCTCCCTCAGCTCCCTTTGGCTGGTGCTCCGTTTGGCTGGTCAGGTGTCGGCGCAGTACTTCCAGGCCAATGCCAATGCCAACTCCCAGTAGGAGGGCCTGCTTCGCTTCCAGCGCCATGGCGGCAAGGCCCAGCCCGTCCAACACACACTCTGGCAACTTCTCCGATCTAAACGCGGTTCTTCGTTTAGCAGCAGAGGTTCTGCAAAACTAGAGTTTCAGTGCGTCCGCTCACTTGCAGATTCATCTCACGTGACAAGCTCTGATCCCAAGCTCCGCCCAAGATCCTGAACTCAGGACACCAGGACACCAGGCCATGCCCTTCTCAAACATACTCAAGCACAGAAAAAAGGCAGCCGTGGCTTCGAAGAGCGGGCTAGCCTCGGCCATCCGACCTCATGTTGGTTTGCAGCCGATTCGGGATGAATCGCTAAGCTTTGGGGTACCCGGTGTCTCCAAATCAGGGCTGTCCTCGTCGCTTGTCTCGGATTCCAAAGAAAAGACACGAGGACCCCCTCTGGCTGCAGCCGCGGAGCTGCACTGCTGGATGCCTTCGGCCCAGCACGTTCGCATCCTCACAGCCAGATGCTCCCATCCAAAACCGAGCTAAGCTGTTTCAGACGCTCTGGCACGATGCAGACCAGTGACATGCTTGAGACATTGACCAGAGAAGCAAGGAGGAGTCCAAATTTGTGGCTGTGCAGCCCAAGCCCCTCGCATCCAGCACCACCCCCCGTTTTCTTAGAAAGAATGCCTCCCGAGGCTGCGACGGCTCCGCGACAGCCCGCACACCAGCAGCGCAGGTCAGTAGCGGCCTGCTTTGGCATGGCAGTGCCCGGGCCGCCGTCTTACCGTCGAGCTCGACAACATAATTCAGTGCACCGTTCCAAACGTCGAAAGGCTTGCCGCTTGCCTGAAGCCTCGACCCGCAATCACTGGCCATGGAACCTCTATTCACTCCGAAATTGCGAGCGCGTGCAGGGGGAGCTGCGCGGTGGGTGGAAAGCTAGTAATACAGGTTGCGGTGCATGCAAACCAGCTTGGCCGAGGCACAGAGCACAGCAGCCCCTCGCCAGGGCTGCACAGGATTCCTGTCGGCGATGGGGGCAAAAATCGATCTCCTCCCCTCTCTCAATTCACTGATGTGGGCCATCTCGATGTCATCAAGCCCAAATAGATGAGGATCACAGTTTGGTCCCGGCAAACTGGCCTCCGGAACTAAGCCACACCTAGCTGTCCACTGGTCAGGAGAAGCACCGAGAACAACCACCGAAAGGAGAACTGCCCGACAAGCCCCAGCTGTCCTGGATTTCTGGAGATCCGCCCTTGTGGATCACCTCCTGGGGCAAGCTCTGCAGCGTGAGAACCGGTGAAATGAGCATAGGCAATCTTACCAGCAGCTATAGCACTAGACATGGTGCTGGCAGAATACGGCCACAGTCGCAAGCACAGCCTTCAATGAAAGAAGATGACACAAATTGCTGCCTGAGCAGTTGCAGAATGAATAAGAAGCAGATGGAAGGAGTGAACAGAGGCGTTCTCGTAGTGCATGTCCCAATGCTGGATCATTTGCATACGCAGTCTTGCCAACTGTTGTCTTCGAAGGCTTCACGACTTACGACGCCCTGCCAGAGCATGGCAATGAGCAGGTGGAAAGCACTGCGGGTACCTGCTACTTCGTCACTATCGGCTAGGGCAGTCAGTAACCAGGAGGCAGCTTTGACTTAACAGCTCATCGATTGTTGGAGAAGTCGTAGCTTCAGGTAACATTAGTCATTAGCCAACGGCCAAGGAATGAATCCATGGTGCCGACTGGAGCTCAACTAAACCGAACTAATTCACCCTGGCAAAACTTCCGCAGCCGAGCTCGTTTGCCTTTTGCCCTGCTTCAGCTGCGTGCGCTCTCTGCTCCGAGGATCCGGCAACGCGCCTTCGGAGGCTGACGCGCTCGGAGAAGCGCTGCTGGACCTTCCACGGCAAAGGCTCCGGCCCCGAATGCAACCAGAACAACGACTTCCGGAAGAAGGCTTTCAAAATTGAGGAGCTTGGCTTGGGGAGGGATTCACAGGGGAGACGAGCAGCTTCTCAATCTGTGCTCTGCAGAGAATTGCATGCAATGTATCTTACAGTCACAGCATCCGCTGTGGTAGGAGACCGACCATATATTCCTGCATGCCACCGTCAACGTCCTGTCTCTCTCAGCGGTCCAAACAGGGAATCACGTACTTCCACGCTTCTCCCTTCTGCAGAACAGCACCGAAAGAATGGGGCGCGGCTCTCCGTCCCTCCGTCCATGTCCTCTTTCTTTACCGCCTCTCTGGTGCGCTGCTGCGCCGGCTCGTGCTCGTACCAAGTCACCTGGTCACGGCGCGGGGTCGAGGAAACCACGGAGTGCAAGGGCTGGGCCGCACCTCAGCCTCCTTCAGCAGCCACTTCAGGGACCCCACCTCCTCCTCGCGGATCCCGAGACGAAGAAGCCGAGCAGCGCGAGCTTTTAGCACAAAACCCCAGACTCGCGCTGCCTCCTCATATCGACTCGGCACGGGTCCATGGTAGCCGCCTGCAACCTTCCAAGGCAATTGAGTTTTGGTTGGAACTGCAAACTCCACAAGACTTCTTCTTCTTCTCCAGATGCCGAGGTGCAACAGTCGTCGCCATCGCTTGGCTTCTCTTGACTGTGCTACGTGGCTGCTACAACTTGCTGCTAACTTGCTTGCATCAATCGTAAAGCTTGCGCTCCACATGCCCCAAGCTCAGGATACCATGGGATACCGCAGCTTGTGAGCCATGAAACTCGCGGACCCAGGTGTTCGGGCTTCGCCTTCTAGCACAGGTGACGCCTCATGCACTCTTACCTGGCTCTCATTCAGTACAAAATTCGGAGAGCGAGAGGCCTTCATATCTTGCACCTGAGAACAACCAAATTTCTGAGCTGCACCGGTCCTCGAAGCTGATGTCGCTGCTCTTGTTCTGCAGCGGTTTTGGCATGCCGCGAATGCAGGAAATCAACATTCAGGGCGTTGGGCTCCATGAAACGCATAATTACATCCGCTTCACAGTGGTCTCAAGAGCGTGGCCGTGGCTTAGAGCGACCAGGAGATCCGGCGATGAGCTTGGGACCGAGGCCCGTGCTGTGTCTGCCGCATCGAACATGGCGTACTGCGCTTCCCGGGAGAGGTTCTCACCTGGCCATTATAGCGGGACGCAGAAGTGGCCACAAGGTAATCCAAGGGGTCCGAGCCACACAGAAATCCTGCTGTTTCCCCCCCTCCCTCAGCATTGATCGCGCAGGCTCACGTCATCTCATGTCCTTTAACTCGGTCCGGGTGCCAAGCCCCCCCCCTTTCTTTTGAGCTTCCTCTCCTAACTTTTCGTACGTCGGCCGTGCCTAGCTCGACTATACACTTCGATCTGGAGGGCTCTCTCTCTCATGCAAGGGGGACTCTGCAGGCGCTGGTTGCAACCAAGCTGCCAACATCCTGCCAGACAGAAAGAAGCAGATAGAAGCATCAGGGACGCTAGTTGGGGTCGAACCACTCACTTTGTGAAACGCAGCTTCCGGCATCAAGACGGCATGGAAGGAAAAGTGCTCTCTGGCACTTGACATTCGACTTAAAGCGGACGAGGACTGCCCAAGCCTGAGATGATCAGTTATCAGCTGCGATATTCGACCCCTCAGTCGCCGTTCTCTATCCGCTTCCTTGAAGATCATGCGGAACTCCTCGAAGTCTATGGCATTGTCGCCTCAACTCCATCAAACGATCGTGAAGCTGAGCAGCTTACCATGCTCGATAGCGGCACAGCCATTTCACAGCCCACGCCAAGGCGAGTTGTAGCCCATTGGCATAAATCCAGAAGCGCCTCCATTCAAATATGGATCCATGCACCCATCCTCTCGGCAAGTGGCCGTTGGCGTCGTACATGGCGAAGAAGGGCGCCAGCACCTCTCCAGCGAAGGACCCCATGTCGATTCTTGCAGCTTCGACCTGAGAACTGAAGCACCGGGCCTTGCACATGCGCCGAACTTCATCCATCGACTCCTTGTTAAGGAGAACCTCGGAAATAGAAAGAGCTCATGCTCCTATCTGAGGCGCAAAGACGGAATGGATTGATGCTTCGGCAGGTTGAGGCCAGCCACATGCCGACCATGTTATCTAGATAGCGTTGGCTGACTGCCTCTTGCACGGCTTGGCAAGACATCCGTGCCTCTGTGAGGTCGCCCTTCTTGCACATGTTGCTCCTGAACTGACCCAACACGGCCGAAGAATGAGTACAACAACGATAAGAGTAAGAAGAAGGGGCAGATAGAGGCGCACCACTGCTTGTCGCGGAAGGATGCCATGGCCCCACGGAGCGTAAGCGTGCCTGGCACTCTCTCATCAAAGCCCAGAAGCTTGCAAACGCGTCTAACCCAAACCCAAACCTGCAATCCCAAGCCCCCAACCCCTGTAACAAGATTCGCCGGTGCTGCCATCTCGCATGGCCTTCCATGTCGCACGGACAGATTTCCGAAGCATAAAGCATGCGAGTACTCAAGTGCTGCACGGACTCGGTCCATCATCAACGAAAGGCCAAGGACACTATCATCCATGGCGGCACAAGCAGATGCCTCCACTACTCCCGGCCCTCCAGCCTGAATGGTGCTCTCGGCGATTGCGTCGCTGATCGCTCCGCCTCCGCCTTGCGACTCTTTCCTGACATCCGAGCTTTAACCCGCTGCGACTAATTGAACCTAACACCTCGGGGACACCGAGCTTGCGGTTTAGCAGAGATTCAGCTCCGGATGCTGAAGCTGAGATGGTGTGACATGCTGCTGCTACGTGCGTGCATGCGTCTCCCTTTTTCGTGCGAATTAGCCCTTGAACCCCTGGAAGCAACTCTTGAGCTCAGGGAGCCATTCACTCCCGTTGTCATTCTGTCTTCTTCTGTGACAGCGACGCTACCAGACGAACCCCGGATCCCTCGCACATGCCTCTCCAGGCAATTTCTGCCGTAAGCGCATGTTACGCACTCTGCTAAGCTGGGCGCCACATCTTCCACAGGTACCACCTGGGATGCACGTGTGTAGCTGCATGGGTGTAGGTGTGTGGGTGTTTCGGGTGCCTGTGTGTGTGTGTGTGTGTGCGTTCATACTATGTGAAGATTGGCACGGCACAACTGCCCTTCCTCGAATAGCTCCACACGCATTACGTCAATATGATATGGCAGCCTGCAATCCCTTTCTCCTGCTATGGGAATGGGCACAGCCAAGCAGCAGGAAGAAGCCTGCGCAGACGAAGAGCCCGAGGAGAGCGAAAACGTTCTCGTACTCGGCCTACGGACCAGCTCCAGGAACATCTCGCCTTGACTGACTGCCTCAACCTCACATGATGCAAACCTGGGCTCGGCAGGGCATAGCACAAAGTCTTCAGAAGCCTCGTGTCGCTGCATCTTCGCGCCCTTCGCTGGGTTGTCCTGCCACGGCTCAAGCTGCGCCATGCACATGATTGGAAGAGTCCTGCGAGCTGCGAATACAATGGTCGAAGCCGTCACAAGTCGAGAATGGGATGAGCTCCGGTCCAGAGGCTTAGGCATCTTGTCGACCAGAAATGCTGAGCCCTGGATGATGATGTACCTTGAGAGGAAGCCATGCTGAGCCCTGACGGATGGCACTTCGCTCCAACGAAGAGTCCCTTTGTAGCCTGGGCCTCCCCTCGCACAAGTGTCCAAGGCCCCTGCCCGAACATTGTGTAGAGCATAGTATAGGCCTTAATGCGTTCTAAGCCGCATTGAAGCACATGTGGGAACAGCAGCAGCTCTAGCAGCATCAGAACATGTCAAGCATGAATGATATTCATTCAGATGGCATTCATCCACCTACAATGCCGTGGACCAGCTACTTTCACGCACTGACTGCAGCCTTGTACCTTCGGCCTCCCTTCAGCGTGAGCCGTTCAGGGCCCCGGCATTCTGGATGATCTCTCGACCATAGCCCACGCCAGTATCTCAACAAACACTGAAAAATTTGGCAGAAAAAAACTGTCTGGCTGAGGAGAACATGTCGGAGCTTGGACAATAACGACAGCGCTCATACACGTGACTTTTGTTGTTGTAGTGGTCAGCGTCAGCTTTAGCGGGGCGCAGCAGCATGAGCAGGAGTCGTCTAGTGGTAGGCGTAGTAGCAGCAGCAGCAGTAGCAGCAGTAGCAGTAGCAGTAGCAGTAGCAGTAGCAGTCGCAGTCGCAGTCGCAGTAGCAGTAGCTGTCGCTGTCGCAGTCGCAGTGGGAGTAGGAGTAGTAGTAGTAGTAGTAGTAGTAGTAGTAGTAGTAGTAGCAGTAGCTGTAGCAGTAGCAGTAGTAGTAGTAGTAGCAGCAGCAGCAGTAGTAGTAGTAGTAGTAGTAGTAACAGCAGTAGTAGTAGTAGTAGTAGTAGTAGGGTAGTGGTGACAGCAGCTGTAGTAGTAGCAGTAGGAGTGGTGTTGGTAGTGGTAACAGCTGTAGCAGTCGTAGTACGTCGTAGCATTCATAGTCGCTGTAGAAGTGGCCATAGTGGTCGCAGCAGTCGAAGTCGCAGTAGTAGGAGTATGTCCTGTAGTAGAAAACATAAAGTGGATGCGCAGATGCACGGATTCCAGGGCTGCGGCGAAGCAAGGACATGTTTCCAGGCGGAGACAACTTCTCCCAGGTCTGAAGTGGGACATTGAAAGGTTTCCGTGTATCGACGCTGCTGACAACTGCAGATGTAGCTCGAAATACCTGTTGCAACGAAAACGGGAGCAAGACTATCAGGCGTCTGACCTGCCGCCCTGCGCTTTTGTCACACGTTTCTTGTGCCATAGTATGTCTTTGTCCGCGGTGTATGCTGAACATGCTGTTTCCATGCCCTCCAGTGTGTGTTTCATGGAAGGTTCCTGAAGCGTTTTGCTGCTTTTTGAGCGGCTCCATTAACACCTGATGCTCCGAAAAACATCCGCACAGTGTTGCAAGGCCACAGCTGCAGGTCGGCGATGTAGGCTGTTCAGTTTAGGAGTTGGACCTTGGCCTGTCGAGTTACGAATTTAAGGAGCTTAGGGTTTAAGGGTCTGGAGTTTGTTCACGGGTTGGTGGGGAATTACGCCTCATTCCAGGTGCTACTGGTGTGTAAAATCACCAAAACGACAGATCAGCCGCTGACCTAGTTTTTAAATCGGAAAGGGTTGCGGCGTCATGGAACGGCCAAACACACTCTTGGCAATGACATACGACGGGCCGCCGTAACTTCATGACACCATGACTGCAAGAACCCCCCTGGCCCGGCCGTTGGGTCGGCACCAGACGGGCGCTGGTACGTTGGCTTTCCATCCTTCAAGGACACCTGCAGCGAAACGAGCCGGATGCCAGGACGAAGTGATGTGATGAAGTCCAACAGACTCTTGTGTAAGATTGCTGAAACTGTCTTGCATCGTACTCAACATAGCATCTCGCGGAATTACCAACCATTATCTTGCGATATGGCAGAGACAATATTCTTCTGTCAAAGCATCAAACTGTTCCATCTCATGTTGCATGTCACACGTTTGCGACCGACCGTATTCTGCGTGGCCAGGATACTATACACCTGACTCGTATTCGACTGCCAAGCGATGATAATATGCCAGTTCGAAAGGCGGCGAAGGACAGCCCGGGGGCCGAACCCGCCCAGCAAGCACTGCCAAGAACCTGCGTTATGGGATGTCACAGATTGAATGTGCAGAGCTTGTTTTCACCTCTGTAGAGCTTGTTGCTTGTATGACGACCAGCCGTATTTTCTGCACCAACCGGAGCCACAAAGCTGAGCTCATAGATCCAAGCATTACGTTTGATGCTACGCATCGTGTGCCTGTCGAGGAGAACTACGGATTGAATGATCTGGCAACATGGCTGCATGGATCTGAGATAGGGGGAGATGTATTATGACTTAGGAAAGTACAAGACAACTGTTGCCATCGCTCTTTAGATAGCTGCAGAAACTTGACCGATGCATGTTTGTCACAGGAATAGCGGACAGGACCTTTCATGCGCTAGGTATGGCTGTCTTTGGCTTTCGATTAGGGCTTGGAGGATTCAGGTTTCCGAGGATGGCATTCTCGATGAAGAGGCCCTGTGGGTGATTTAGATTCCGGTCATGCTGTTGGATGAGGCACCCAGCTGTCGTCGGCCTTTGATGATTCTCATATTATCGACAAGTAGATATGAATGATGATATAGTTAAGCATCCAAGTGGGACATGTTCTGTCCTCAGCATGAAACCTGTGTCGCAAGTTCGTTCGGCAACTTCGAATCATCGTAGGAGATGACTTCGATCGGCAGCGCGAGAACGAGATTTGCATTTCACGTCGGGTCTAGTCGCCACCATCCCCGCCATCATCATCACCTCCACCTCAACGACGACATAGACGCTCGTAGCACTGGACGCTCGTAACACTTCAGCTTCGCCCCGCGGGGCGTGCCAGGGCAGCGTCAGCAGCATCACTGTGCTGCCGGCGAGGGCGCCCACGCCGACGCTAACCTCCACAACCCCGAGATCCCAATTGGAATCGCTGTGAGTGACAACTTCACAAGCATGACAACATGCTATCGGCATTGGCCGTTCTGTAGCGATCTCTGACGTCTCAAGGTGCTGACGGGACCCGGAGCCAGAAGCGCCTGGTTCTGCGCATCTGGACCGAGGCCGGAAAAGAGAACCATCCTTACCAGAGCTTACCACGGGAACTTCGCTTCGGAGCTTTTGGATTCGAGAAGCAGTTGGATTTTTCGTGTGGCCTGCCGAATGCAGCAGACACGGCAAACAATTTGAATGCTGCGCAGGCCGCATGATCAGCCAAGGATAACCGAATCAAGAGAATGGAACTTGTATTTCTGCTATATGTCCCATGCTTGGCTCTCCTGAATAAACCCTGGGATCACGACGAGCAGCCACGCTTCCGAACACAGTACCCTTCTTTCTCAGCCAGGTGCATTCCATCGGGGACTGCCCCGAGGATAGGCAGCACCACACTGAGAGCAGGAACCCGGTGCTGTTAGCTGCAAGGTTTTCAGCGCAAGCTGCAGGTTCAATGATTTGCCGCTGGCCATTTCGGCTGACAATTTGAGCCTGTGCGAACGAGCCAAACTCGCTAATGAGCAGAAGCCCAGGCGAAGTAGCATGGCAAGATCGAGATCTGAGTTGACAGGCTTTAGATCGGGTGTCTTTTTGAGGCCTGGGTGCTCTCATTGCGGCTGATGCATGTTGGATTGTCAACAGCTCTGGAATGGCGCAGAGATCTACCATCCCAGGCTCGCTTTTTTCTCCTGCTACTCGTAGAATCCATATCGCCGCAAGCCAGAATCACTGGACAGTTCATCGTAAATCCAAGCTGAACAAGACAGAGTTCGGGCTCGGAAAACTGCACCACCGCCCTCCGACGCCTGCCGACGACTGGTGCTGCTGCGGGAACCAACCTGCAACTCTGCATCAGCATGTGCAAATCCACTGGTCGAATATACTGTCGAATTTGATCGAGTTGGCAGCTGAGCCTCGTTGAGTGGGGCACCAAACATGTGTGGCAACTCGAACCACTTCAGGCTCTCGGCCAATGCTCGGGCGAAAAAGAAACCACACCAACCTGCGACGATCTCCCTGAGCCTCGCACGCTCCCTGGACCGTTGACCCTGCCCCTTAAAACAAAGCGGAAAAAAAAAAGAACTTCGCCGACGCGACAGTAGCAGCTCGCTCCCATCGCTGATGAGGTTGGAGGCCTTCAGGGCTGTCGAGATTTGAAGCTATGAAGCACATGACGTCCCGTCACTGGGTGTTGCAAGTGCAACATGAGATGGTACATACGGTATTACGCTGGACGGAGGACATATGAGGAAACGTCCGCAACTCGGCCAAGTACGTTCGATGCAAGGACATGGTACAGCTACGGCCAGATCTCTACCAGCCACTCCGTTTTGGTTGAAGCTCATGCGGACTGAGACGAGAAGCATAACATCAGTCCTCACAGTCCAAAGGAGGCCTGGAAAAGAACGTAGCCGTACCTGAGTCGCGACCGAAAGGGCTGCACGGACGGTCGCACAAAAAAGATACAGACACATACACACACATCCAGGATACAACAGGCAAAACACAGATTTCGACACGGACAGCCTGCACAGACGACAGAAATCGGTTCGGGTAGGGAAGTCTTCCACTTCCTGACACGTGCCGGGCTACATCACCGTCAGGAAGACGATCTGCGCCTCGGTTGCTCGAACGCTGCACGTCAACACGACATGTCATACACACTCAGGGGCTGCAGTGGGAAGAGGATGGGAGCAACTAGGATGGGCTCAGCTACAGCCCAATCCAGCCCGTGGACACCAAACGCGGTAAACTCGAGCTGTCCGGCAATGGGCTAACGCAAACTAGGCTGACCAGGGCCCCCACCATGTTGCAGTTCTCCGGGAGCGGAAAGGGATCTGGCATGACCGGCAAAACTCTGCACCAGAAGCCCGACAGCCCGGACAGTCGCAGACTCTGCGTATCCTTGGAAAGCCCCCAAGACTGGCTGGTCGGACTCAGCGGATCGCCGGCCGCCTTGAGCAGTGCAGGCTTTGGAGGTTGGAGGGAGCGGTGGCGGCCCGGCTAACAGTAGTCATCTCCGAGCCTGATCCGCCGCAGCCGTTGCAAATAACGGCTCCGGCATGGCGGCCTGTTGCCTTCCGGCCACGACAGGCTCCAGGCACGAGCACGAGCCTCAATCCATGTCGAGGCCTCGTTCGGCACGGGCAGCCGCACGATGAGGGTTGGGGCTGGAGCCGATTTGCGGCATCACACACGGTGTAACCACTTATCCCTCGCTCTTCATCCCGCCGGCAGTGTCTCCGAATGGCAAACAGCATTTTGTCCGCATTGCCAGACACAAAAGGGGTCTTCCGCCACACCCTATGCCTTCGTAGCGCGGGGTGCCTTAGTGCACGTGTCTTGCAGAGTGACTTTCTGCAAGACCAGCCCACGCAGCTGCCGGTAATTAAACACATCACTATGCAATACCCTGGACTCAAACGAGAACTTGGTAAAGCCTGCGGAAAAAATCACATGGTAACTTAGGCATAGGGGTTATGGCCCGTCACATGAGAGCTTGATTGTCGTGATGTTGTTTGTCTAGGGTTTCATGCAATGGAAGGAGGCACTATAATACATACTACAAGATGCCCATGGACAAGAGAAGACATAATGAGACTCCTGAAACAAGCCAGACTAGATCAAGATCGGCAAAAAGACATGCAATAGCTGAAACCTTGTTCGGATGTACGTGGCATGGCCAATGTGCTTAGGGCAGAGAACGACTACATACATACGAACATGCATACATGCGTGCATACATTGCTATAGGCTATATACATACATACCTACCTACATACGTACATACACATTAAGCAAAGGATTTACACAAAAGACAACAATATATACTGGTCCACAGTCTGCAAGGACAGATACGCAATCCTCCGACCCCGGTGTAGACTGACCAGGAGCAGGCCACCGTGAAACCAGTAAGTCACAAACTTGATGATAAAGCATACTACGATAACAAAAACCAAAGAGATCGAGAATGACAAACGGACTTGTACCAATGTATGTTTAAACAGAATATCTTCAGGCAGAGTAACCTCACTGAAATTGGCCAAGTGTCCAACATTGCATGTGAGCATCTGTCTCGTCATACATATACATGTTTCTGTATGATACCTCTCTACACATTTCTACATTTTTACACACCCACACAGTGTGTATGTATGTGTATGTATATTTATAATTGCAAAAAAATATATGTACATCTTCTACACATGTATGTATAAATGTGTTGCGTACAACATGACTAGATAAAGGGAACACAGTGACATTTATGTAGACTGTGTCGTAGCAGCAGAGGCTTGCCTGTGATATACTTAGTTGTGAAATATGGATATATATATATATACCTACACACACCTAGAATTATGGGGCATGTCCCTCTCATTTCCTCGATGCGCTGCAAAACCCCCAAACCAGTTCACTAGTTCACCATTTCACCGTTCAGTTTCACGCGCATGGCTGGTGCCCCTCAGCATTTCACCAAACCTTCAGGTCTCCCAGATGGTTAGGCTTCTTCACCATTTCAGCATTCACCGTTTCACCATCTCCCCGTTCAGTTTCCCCCGTGTGGACCGTCAGCTCGTCAACATTTCACCGTTTCACCAGTTTACCGCCCATATGGCTAGCCCTCCTCACCGTTCATTGAGCCGAACTAACATATTTCGCACGTTCCCAGAACCATGTGTGATTAACTCGTGAGCAATATGATGTGGCTTACTTTCGGGTTGCAGCAGGTGTGTTGTCCGGAGCATGAGCACCAGAACAGCGGAATAACAAGGTCCACAGGAAAAGGAAACACGAATGATAAGACTTCATCCTAAGGAGAGGCATTTTTTGTTCATGGCTTCGTTTCCCCCCCCCCCCTAGACCCCCCCCCCCCAAGAAAGCTTTAGCAAGTGCTTGCCAAGGCCTCGGCAGGACATGTGTCACAGTAGCACCTCGGTAAGGCCTCTATCTTGGTTGCGTAACCTTCACAGGAAGCCTCCGATGGCCCTGATCGGCCACGGGGGTTCTGACATGGCCTGAGGCCTTGCTGAGGCCTTGCTGAGGCCTTGCTAAGGCCTTGCTGTTGCTGAGGCGTTGCATGCTGTTGGCCTGCCCGGCCCAGAGTTTGCCGAGCAAGATTCGTATGTGGGAAATGCCATTTCTCACTAGACGCTCGGAGGTGTCGCTAGAAGGGGGGGGGGTCTTGGGGGGGGGGGGGGGAAACGAAGCCATGATTTTTGCACTTTACAAACTGGTTAGTTTTCATCACTTGGTACACAGAAGATATCAGAAGATCTTGCAGCAAAGTCGCTTTCAAACATGATTTCAAGGATGTACGATTCCCATGAGGGAATCTGATAAGAAATCGTTGGGACTACTTGACTGCTTAGAGACTATCAAGCTTCCTCACACGGTACAAAGAAAAGCTCATGGCAGCCTTATTTCCAATTACATGGAGGATGAACTCTGAAACTCATTTGAGGAGGGGCCCGGTGTGTTTTTGTGCAACATCGGCGTCAAAGGCCCATGATACATGGCACCATCAAGGTTGCAAGGATTGTAACGGTCTGATGCCCAGAAAACCAGGGTCCGAACTGGAACTCTCCTGAGAAACCATTTCTGCATAAAGCGTCATATGCAAGTATTTGTCAGCAGCAGTCATTGTAGGGAAAACAGCACCCAATGCTCGAATCAAACAAATACAAGAGCGTCTAGAAACAATGGCATAGGGATAGGTTATGGAGAAGCTGTACGTAGCTAAACCTCAGTCGCAATGATTAGAAACAGCTAAAAAAGGTTCTAACAGATTGCAGAGATGTAAAATATTATGGAAAACTCGGAATAGATCGTAGTTTTAAAAGTTAGTTCACTTCAGGGCATTCATTTACTATACAGACTATGCATACTAACTACATTTCCATTTGCAAAAAACTGATATACAAGGGCTCAGACACTAACTACGTGACAAAGGGGGATGCATTATGAACGTGTACGGGCGGCTCGAGGGTCTAAGCTGCTTATGGTGAGTTTTGATGGGGTCGCTGCAGAAATGCGTTCAGCAGTGTGCAGACATGGAAAGGAGTGACCTTACGAAATGCATCGACGTCTCCCTAAAAAGGGTTTTGGCAAGTCGTGGCAGGGTTTTGATGGGTTGTTGTAGAATGTGCAACGTTCGGCATTCTGCAATTATGGATTGTCAAGATTTATGAAAGACTTTCTGGTTCAAGAATATTGCAGCAATGCAGACATGCATGGGGGCGCAGCCTAAACCTGTAGGGACAGGGACAGGGAGAGCGAGAGGGAGAGGGAGGGGGAGGGGGAAGGGCAGAGGGAGAGGGAGAAGGGGGTGGGAGTGAGAGAGAGAGAAACAGCGAGAGAGAGAGAGAGAGCGAGTGAGAGTGAGAGTGAGAGTGAGAGTGAGAGTGAGAGTGAGAGTGAGAGTGAGAGTGAGAGTGAGAGTGAGAGTGAGAGTGAGAGTGAGAGTGAGAGTGAGAGTGAGGTGAGAGTGAGAGTGAGAGTGAGAGTGAGAGTGAGAGTGAGAGTGAGAGTGACACACTACACGCACGAACGCTCGCAAGCTCACTGAACAGCATGCCACACACCGAGCGGACGAGCAATGTTTAATCCGCTCTAGCATGGGGTTGAGCGGTCTCAAGAAGAACTACGGAAGAGCATCAGAAACGACCGGCCCCCACCCCAGGACAACGACAACCCACGAACGGAGTCGTCGTCGTCTCAGTCGCTCGAACCCGCAACCGGCGAACCCTTCCCGGGACACCAGACGCGAGAGCATCTCGAACAAATTCCCTTCGTTCGAAATACGAGCAACCTCCCACCTCATAATAGGGCGGGTTGGGTGGGACAAAAAGATCCTTCGCGGATCGAGACGATCGTCTCGACCCAAAATGGCCACGGATCAACGTGGTGATCAAAAGTCAAAAGAGCATGCTGATCTCATGCCGTAGTGTGACCCTCCTATTCCAGACCTACCTAGCCGATAATAGGAGAACCACACTACACGCACGAACGCTCGCAAGCTCACTGAACAGCATGCCACACACCGAGCGGACGAGCAATGTTTAATCCGCCCTAGCATGGGGTTGAGCGGTCTCAAGAAGAACTACCGAAGAGCATCAGAAACGACCGGCCCCCACCCCAGGACAACGACAACCCACGAACGGAGTCGTCGTCGTCTCAGTCGCTCGAACCCGCAACCGGCGAACCCTTCCCGGGACACCAGACGCGAGAGCATCTCGAACAAATTCCCTTCGTTCGAAATACGAGCAACCTCCCAGGCCCTGCATCGATCTTTTAGCGGAGCTTCGCTGGCCATGAGCACAAAACTGTCGACCACCCAGCAGCTTGGCCAATCTCGAGGCGATCCCTCGATGGCCAGTCTGCGGGGTTGGCATCTGTAGAAACTCGATCGATAAAGAAGTTGACCCTATATTCAAGAGCCAATTCCCAGAAAACTTCAACGAGCTCACAGAGATCTTCCTTTGAAGAGTATCCTTTCACTAGAGCAGCCTCGACCGCCTCAGACTCAATCAGAAGGAGAACGTCCTTATTCTTCACGTGATCCCGGAAAGTCTCGAGCGCCAGAATCGGCGCGATCATCTCGATCGGGACGATCTGGGTCTTCCTCGCGAGCCATCGGTCCGATACTTCGAGTGGGATCACCTCAGTGAACTGCTTGGGAGCATCGGCCCTCCGATCGAACATCACGGCTCCGATCCGATCGGCTCCTTCTTCCGATTTCCGAAAGTCTGGAGTGAAGCCGTCTGTGAAGATCACAACGTCGGCGTTCTTCTCCGAGCGGAGTGATATCTCACGCGGAGGGCCGTGAACGATGAGGTTCCGCCAGTAACGGAGCGATCGTTCCAGAGCCAGGTTGAGCTCCATACGATCGCTAGACCGGTCCTTCGAGTACTGGCGCTCCGAGAGGGGCCGGAAGAACGCACGTCCAACCTTCCCCCAGAGCTGGCTCGCTCCGAACATGAGCTTGCCCTTGAGCTTACCTGCGGTCCCAGGATCCAAGGTGCCCGCCTCCAAGATCGCGTCGATCGAGTCCAGGAGCTCCTGCTTCCTCTGCTCCTTGATCTCAAGAACTAAGAGCTCAAGGTTAAAAGTCACGCCCAAGATCACAGGCGCCGCCGAGAGCTGGAGCTTCTTCTCGTCGAAGAGAGCGCCAAGCCAGAAGTGGATGCACTCGGCCACGACCTTAGCCGAAGGCGCCGTGAGATCGGTCTCGAACCCGTACTTGTCGTCGTAAAAGTTGAAGGCGACCATGCTGAACAGCCGGACGAGAATATCGTTGATCAGGGCCGAGCGGCGATTATAATTGTAGA